AAACCCATTAGAAAAGCAGGGGAATATGATCAAAATGAAAGGAAAAATAAATTACGGTCGATTCGAGTTCGGGAAGTGGGAGGGGGTGAGTTTTTAAGGGTGAAAAATTGTTTATCTTGATTTCCGGCAAAACTACAAGTCCTATGGAAAAAAGTTACATGGCAAAGTTGTAGGTCATAAAAAGATCTACAACTTTTGTATTTGCAATTTTTTCACATAACCTCAAAATTTAGGTGAAAAATTCAAAAAACCAAGTTTTTGGTTTTTTATTTATATCTTTTTCAAAAAAAAATTTTTTTTCTACGAAATTTGGTGAAAACTTACCTTATTATGTCCCAAATATACTGTAATTTATTTGATTAAAAATATTTATTTTTTCGCCTCATTTTAACCTAATATCAAAAAAGCACCCTAATTTTCAATCGAAAATTCTGACGTCAAAATTTCAGCTTTTTTCAAAAAGTTTGGGGGCTTTTTGTTCGTTAAAATATCTACTTTCTGATGGTGTAAAAAAATATATACATTACTATAGGAAATATTATTAGAAAATGCAAAAAATTGAAAAAAACCTCAAATTCGAAATTTTTTTTAATTACTATGTACAATTTTATCAAAAAAATGTGATTGCTGCAATTTTTTTTAGTTAAAAAGTTTATTTATTTTACTCGAATTACATTCATGTCATAGAAAATCTCATACAAAATAAATATACATGTAAATCGTACTATTGAATTTAGAAACTTAATTCTGATTACGTTATTCGTTAAATTTTTTTTTAAAAACGTTAATCTTGTTATTTATAAATACCTTATCTGAAATTCTAATCAGTTATTCATTAGTTTTTGTCTCTTTGGAGGCATTTCTTCATCGTCAGATTCGACAAATCTTTCCAACTCTAGTTGATCGTCGAAATCTTCAAGACCATCATCTTCGTCTCCAATGTTATTTCCAGTCTGCATTGGTTCTTCATCCACAATTTCATCTGAATCATTTACTTCCTCGTAGATTTTTTCTTCCATATTGGAGCAATTTTCAGAACCATGACAATTAGTGCATAAATTTGTGCATTTTAAACCATGTTTTCGGCAGCCACATTTTAAACTGTTACATCCAGTTTCACAGCTGCAGCAAATAGTTTTGAACAATACTTCCGGAATTAAATCCTTTTCTGTAAATTTGGGCATAATGCCACGCTGATGTTGCTTCCAGCCCCAATCTGTTGCTGTCAATTCGTTACCCAACCAAGTTTGAAGCTGATAATATGCTCTGTAACAATGTTGTTCTGCTGCTCCTTCTGTGGGTGGGAGGTTTGCCAAAATGAAGGATGATTTAATTTTTGCCAATTGATATTTTTGAAACCTTAATTGATTCAGTGTTAATTTTTCTTTTTTACATTTATAAATAGATTTAATTAATTGTAATCCATTTTTTTTTTATATTTTCTTTACTTTCATCTTTTTTGTAAAAAACATTGGCCAAATTTGACAAATTTTTCGCGTCTAATATAGAATTAACGATACTTTTCTTTCCTTTTCCGGCAAATCCAGACCCTCCTAGGTCCGTCCCCACTTCTCAATGAAATAACTTACAATGGGCTAAAATTCACCGAAGGTCACTCAGGTATATAAATTATCTTAAAACAGCAATAAATAGGCATCTACAAATATTATTTAAAGAAGATTCTACAACTTTTTCAAAATATTGTAGATGTCTTATTAAATATTAACTTTATTAACTTATTTCTTTGTTAATTATAGAAGTATATTTTAATTTGCAATTTTTTCGTTTATCAACAAAACACGAAATCTTACGTTTTTTGAGTAATTAAAGTGTAAATTTTAATAAATACCTCAAAATTGTACATAGTGATTAAAAAAAAATTTTCGAATTTGAGGTTTTTTCAATTTTTTGCATTTTCTAATAATATTTCCTATAGTAATGTATATTTTTTTTTACACCATCAGAAAGTAGATATTTCAACGAACAAAAAGCTTCCAAACTTTTTGAAAAAAGCTGAAATTTTGACGTCAGAATTTTCGATTGAAAATTAGGGTGCTTTTTTGATATTATGTTAAAATGAGGCGAAAAAATAAATATTTTTAATCAAATAAATTACAGTATATTTGAGACATAATAAGGTAAGTTTTCACCAAATTTCGTAGAAAAAAAAATTTTTTTGAAAAAGATATAATTAAAAAACCAAAAACTTGGTTTTTTGAATTTTTCACCTAAATTTTGAGGTTATGTGAAAAAATTGCAAATACAAAAGTTGTAGATCTTTTTATGACCAACAACTTTGCCATTTAACTTTTTTCAATAGGACTTGTAGTTTTGCCGGAAATCAAGATAAACAATTTTTCACCCTTAAAAACTCACCCCCTCCCACTTCCCGAACTCGGATCGACCGTAATTTATTTTTCCTTTCATTTTGATCATATTCCCCTGCTTTTCTAATGGGTTTCATCCTACTGTAATTTTTTTTCATTTTTTACCATTTTTGAAGGCTTCGGCCCTGGTCTAAATCATACTCATATTTATTTAAGGATTTTTTTATAAAACCGATTTATTATATTGATTTTTTGTTAAATTTCAGTTCATTTATTAATTTTGTTTTAAAATCAGTTCATCATTTGGCAACATTGGTGTTTATTGTTTACATTTTAATTTGTATCAATTACAATTCGAGTTTTTCTTACTTTTTAGCTTTAAATTTGTTTATTTTTAAAAGTAAGTGATAGTGTTTATATTAAAAATAAAATCTGCGAAAAAGTCCCCAGCAAATTGCAATATTGTAACGGTTGGAACCGTTTTCGTTATTTTGACACAAACATCTCTACTCAAATGTCATTTGTCGTTTATACCTTGTGTCAAAAGTTCCTATTTCATTTTGATTTGTATCTGTCAACGAATCAGTTGATTTTAAATTTTAAATTATCTGGGTCATCCAATGTACTAAATCATTTTTATCTATCGCATAGTCCGTCTGATTTTATAAGGTAAGATTTAAAACTAATATATTGTTAAATACAGGGATTTCATTTCAAAACTAGCCACCCAAAATAACTTTTAAAATATCTTTAAATCAAAAAAACAAAAAACACGTTAATTTATATTTACGGGGGGACACATTTTACAAGTATCTGTAACCGTGCAGTTTCATCCCTTAAGCGGTGGTGAATATCACTTCTAAAATTTTAAATAGAAAGGGGTATCATGTGATAGCTCTTCTTAAAGGTCTCTTTTTTTCCAATCTTCTGACACATTATTTTTTTAAATCGGATTAATTTTTCACCATTTTAACCTTTTAAATTAAAATAATTATTATTTACATTGTATTTACATTATTAATATTTTATTTGCGTAAGAATTACATTGTACTTAAATAAGATATTCAAAATGTCCGCCATTGTTGGCAAAGCAATGGTAAAGTCGCAGCTCGAATTCATCCCGCACTTTTTGAAGCGTCTCTGGTGTAATCCGCTCACACTCCTCCACTATTATACGTCTAAGTTCAGGAATATCGCGAGGTTGAGTTTTATACACCACAGTTTTTAGATGTCCCCATAAAAAAAAGTCTAGGGGCGTTAGGTCAAGTGATCTCGCTGGCCATTCTATAGCGCCCCTTCTTCCGATCCATTTATCTGGAAATGTCTCATTAAGCCAATTTCGTACAGGCAAGCCATAATGTGGAGGTGCTCCGTCCTGTTGAAAAAATAGGTTTTCTTCGTCTAGTAACAAATTTCCATCTTGATCTATTTGGTTTTCTAAGGATTCGGTTATAAGAGGATTTATCAGATTTTCTAATAAGTTCAAATGCAATTCCCCAGTTAAATTTTCCTCCATGAAAATAGGACCAATAATTTTATTACCAAGAATTCCGGCTCATACGTTGATTTTCTGAGGATATTGGCTGTGCTCTTCCCGAAAAACATGTGAATTGGTATTGTCCCAATACCTACAATTAATGTTTATTGACAAATCCATTTAAAAAGAAACCTGCCTCGTCAGTAAAACAGATATTTTTAATAAAATTATGGTCTTCATTTGCCCTTTGAGTCATTAATTCGCAAAATTCTAATCTTCTGTCATAATCATCCTCAGCAAGCTGTTGTAAAAGTTGTATTTTGTAAGGAAATAATTTATTTAGCCGTAACGTTTTATGCACAGAGCCAACGGAAATATATGTTAATCTAGAGACTTTTGGTATTGATGTTTGAGGTGCCATGGCAAAATGACCTAAAATCTCAACTTGTGCAGCTTCAATTAAAACTCTACGATTCCTTACAGTTTTCTTGCACATACTTTCAGTTTCTTGAAATTTATGAACTGAATCCAACACATACTGATGCCCAACATTTTTATCGGGATGTCTCTGATTAAAAACACGAGCAGTTCTGCGTGCACAGCGTTGTTCTTCACCATAAATAAAGATTATAAAAAACATTTAAGGCTTTTTGCTAACTTGTTTATCTCGGTATTTATACTCATGCATTTTAATTCAATATTTTTAATTTTTTTCCGGTTTCTAGGTTATAACTTGGTGAAAAATTAATCTGATTTAAAAAAATAATGTGTCAAAAGATTGGAAAAAAGAGACCTTTAAGAAGAGCTATCACACGATACCCCTTTCTATTTAAAATTTTAGAAGTGATATTCACCACCGCTTAGGGGATGAAACTGCACGGTTACAGATACTTGTAAAATGTGTCCCCCCGTAAATATAAATTAACGTGTTTTTTTGTTTTTTGTTTTAAAGATATTTTAAAAGTTATTTTGGGTGGCTAGTTTTGAAATGAAATCCCTGTATATATATTTTATACAACGATTTTTTTTTAATTTAAACGTATTTTTTTTTTTTTTCATGGTATCATCAAATAAATTATATTTAAAATTATTTTTAAAACTAATAGATAATAAATATGGCCATTCTTATGACATATCACAATAAAATCACTTTAAATACTAGTCAAAACGATTGCAGTAAAGTTTCAAATATGTTATCACCACATCTGCACTGGGTCGTTGTTATATCTTAATTGATCTTTGCATACTGGAGAAGCAGTTATTGACATTGTAGAAGAAATTATCGATACTGAAGAACGGGAATCGTTCTTTTTATAAGGATAAGTCCATGGACTTGGTTCGAGGTGAAATTCTTCGTTTGTATTCGATCTGTTACTGGTTTTATTCGTTTCTTCTTCGTCTTCTTTATTCTTGGAATTCAGTCTCCTCAAAATTCTACCTAACGAATTCGCTTCTTCTAAACTAGTATTCGTTTTCTTCTTTTCGAATCGTTTTCCCCTGCTTTCTTCTATAATTACGTGTCTGTCAAATGGCGTGTCGTAATCTTCTTCTAGTATGGTCGAAAAACTGTGCGGATTGATTATTTCTAGTGTGGTTATTATTACGGCGGCTAATAGGCACACACCACCTGCTATGAGTATCAGCCAATAACACCAGCCGAACGAAAATTGAACTTGGTTTCTTCTACGTAGACGACCAGCGGTGGTTCTGGTAACTACGCCTATGGCCGGTATCGAATAGCAGTTAAATTTTGAGCTCCCGAAATAAATACAGTTAAAGCAAGAATTACATCTAATAAAATAATAAAAACGTGATACAGTTCTTATAGTGTTGTTTTGCAATAAGTTAGTGTAAAAAAAAATAACTGAATCATGGTATTAACAAGAGAAACCCGCGAAGAAATTGAATTAGCGGTAAGCAAGGCTATTAAAAATGATTTGCTTATCAGTCAAATTGCAAAAAAAGTAACAGAAGCAATAATACAAACAATGGAAAATAAGCTGCTAAATATCGAAACTTCAGTGGCGGAACTAAAAGAGGATTATGGTAAAATGAATACGAAAATTGAAGATAAAACGAAATATTTACAAAATAAAATAAATATACTTAGTGGTGAGAGAGACGAAATGGAGTCTAAAATTGATCAAATGGACCAAGCTACTAGATCTTCTAACTTAAGGGTTTTCAGTATGAAAGAGACCTCCAAAGAAGATACCAGAAAAGTCCTAATAGAAACTTTAAATAAAAATATGTCTCTAAATCTCATCGAAAGTGATATTCTATTGTGCTACAGAATACTTAAATATGTACTTGGATAATTTAGAAATATACCTAAATTCTATAGAATATCAAAATCTAGAAATATATGTAGGTGATATAAACATCGATATACTAAAAAAAGAAACTAACGAAACAAACAAATATTTAAATATAATGAATTTCAAAGGTTTTAAATCATATATAAATAAACCAACGAGAGTACAAAATGAGTCAAAAACTGCCATTGATCATATTTTTATTAGAACTCATAAAAACCTAATAAAAAACGTCGAACTTGAGCCAATTATATTTCACACAGATATGACAGATCACTATTCTCCTTTTATACTAATATCTTTTCCTACACAAAAAAAATGAGGAACCCCAATCAATAAACAAAGTGACCATAATAAATTTTGATAATCTAAAACATTGTTTAAGCAGAGAAAATTGGAATGATGTAATTAATATGGCTGAACCACAAAAAGCATACGATTTATTTTTCAATAAGCTAAATCAACAAATTCAAAAATGCACCAAATCTACAATTAAAACAAAAAATATAATTAAACTGAAACCATGGATAACAACAGGTTTAATACTTTCAATAAAAAATAGAGACTTTCTAAAAAAAAACTAACAAAAAAATACACTCTAGAACTTGAAAACCAGTATAAAAATTACAGAAACAAACTTCATTCCTTAATAAGAAAAACAAAAAATGACTATTATCAAAAAAAATTACACAAGCCGGAAACGATTATAAAAAAATATGGAAAATCATTAATGACATAACAGGTAGTACAAAAAAACTAAGCAAATTGAAAACATATCTATAAAATCAGAAAATAATGATAATATAAACAATAACAAAGAAAAAGCCGAAGAGTTTAATATTTTTTTTACAAATTTAGGTGAAAATATGGCAAATAAAATACATAAGGTAGTACCAGCAGTAAACTTTCTTAAAAATGATAAAGTTGAAAACAACATATTCTTTAAACCCGTAACAAAAAATGAAGTAACTATTTTAATAAGCAAATTAAAAAATAGCTCTGCACCTGGTCCAGATAAATTAACAGCAACTACAATAAAAAATATAAATGAATATATTATTCTTCCTGTAACGCATATCCTTAATATTTGCTTTCAATCAGGAAAAATTCCAAGTCAATGGAAGGAATCAATTGTCACACCTGTATACAAATCCGGAGACCCTAGTGAGCTTACAAATTATAGGCCAATTTCTGTTATCAACAACTTCGCGAAAATTTTTGAAAATGCAGTAAAAAGTAGATTAATTAATTTTTTTCATAATCATAATGTTATTACAGATTGTCAATACGGTTTTATACAAAACTCAAGCACTGAAAATGCGGTAGTTGATTTTTTGGAAAAGACGGTTAACGCTGTAGATGGATCATTAAAATGTGCTGCAGTATTTCTTGATTTGGCCAAAGCATTTGATACCGTTTCCCATAACATTTTACTTGACAAACTAAATAACTATGGCATACGGGGTTTAGCATTAAGGCTCCTGAGGGATTATTTATCTAATAGAACCCAGAGCGTAAAAATTGGCAACACCGGAAGTTCTAAATCAGTAGTAAAGATGGGGATCCCACAAGGAACAGTATTGGGCTCAATTCTGTTTCTGGTTTATATGAACAACATTACACAAATTAATAACTTATCTGGGAATATCATATGCTATGCGGATGATACGGTAATTATTTTCGCTGGAAAAGAATGGGAAGAGGTTAAACTCGCTGGAGAAACGGCCCTAAGAAAGATAAGTTTATGGTTAAATAACAATCTACTAACTTTAAATGTATTGAAAACAAAATGCATTACTTTTAGTTCAACCATCGTTAATCAACCTAACAGCTTTTGTATAAAATTGCATAGTAGTGACTGTCAAAAAAGCGATTGTAACTGCCCCTTGATAGAAAAAGTTTCTCAAATTAAATACCTAGGTGTAATACTTGATCAATACATACGGTGGTCTGAGCATATTGTCCATGTTAGTAATAGACTGAGAGCCCTAATGCACAAATTTTATGTTCTCCGGGACATTCTTTCAAAGAAAAATATAATGATACTTTATAACTCCCTAGTGGAATCTATATTAAGGTATTGCATAGTAGCATGGGGTGGAGCATTTAACACCACTATTAAAATTGTAGAGACAACACAAAATATTATTTTAAAAATCATCCTAAAAAAAGAGAGACTATTTTCTACAAATAAATTGTACGATGAATCGAACATACTAAACGTCAAATTACTCTTTGCTTATCAATGTATAATGAGAATATATACCAATGCTGAAAATTTTACTCAAAAAAATACCCGCTTAACACGCTCAGTCGCTAATATGGAGATTCCTGTACAATTTTTCAAAAAATCACTTAGTCAAAGGTCATTATCATTCTTTGGCCCAAAATTTTTTAACATAATTCCGATACACCTCAGGCAAATAATCAAAACAAAAAAGTTTAAAATTGAAATAAAAAAATATTTAATAACAAACAAAAAAAAATTTACGATCTAATGATAACATATTATAAATAAAAAACATATTAAAAGCCAAAAGGACCATCGTAGTTTTTGTCTACTTTTCCTAAGGTACTGTCTCTTGTTTATTTATCTTTTTATTTATCGGTTTATTCTGTCGAATTTCTTCGTTCCTTGTTCTAATTTTTAAATATTGTATCTTTTGTTAAGTAATAAATAATTATATGTAAAATTTAATACCTGTCTCTAAAAAAAATATGTACATAAATAGAGTCATCTGATTGTTCAGAAGCAAAACAGGCAGAAATACCTAGGTTCCATGCTCAATCAGATGTCTTTAAAGAATTTTTTTTTTCTGTATAACTATTTTTTTACTATTAGGTAATGTACTTTAATATTTAAACAAATAAATTTGATTTGATTTGATTTGATTCCGAAATACCCACTTACAGTTGACAACAAAAGGAACCCACACAAGGTCATCAAAAGAGCTCCGTATCTCGGCACCACAATTAGCATAAGGTTCATTAACACTTATGTCACAAAAGAAGTCCAGCCGTTATGTACTGTCGACCGCAAGCCAATCCATCCTGGCCAGTCGTAAAATAAAATAAACGAAAATTGGATTCACAATAATTCACGATCCTCGTTTAAATGGCATTTCCACAAGCAACTTCCACAAAAGTCAAATCGAGCAAATGAAGAGAGGCGAACGATTCCTGTTCTTCAGTATCGATAATTTCTTCTACAATGTCAATATCTGCTTGGTGTTAATGTCAAAATTAAAACTGAAGTATTCATTATTTTCCAAGTGCAAGTCGTAAAATTTAGTTTTTTACGATAAATGGATATCTACAAATTTACAATATTGAAATTTTGCAAAACTTTGTTTAGAATCAAACTGTAATCTGATTTGTGACGGTTTTATTATCATTTTCATGCATACAAAGTACTACATTATTCACTTCATATTATAAAAATAAGTCTAGTAAGATTTTTAAATAAGTTCATCAGTAATAAACGTTTGGTACCTGAAATGTACTTTAAACCACATAATAAAACATATCCTGGGTTTAGTAAATACATATTTCTAGATGTTCTTGTAGCAACCAATAGGTGAATATTTCAAACAAAATAAGTCATACACATGATAAATATTATATTTATGACGAAAGCACGATACTTAAACTTAAATTAACACTAAATGAAACTCAAAAACACTATTACAATGAGAATATTATCTAAAAACAGGTAAAAAATCACAAATACAAAATCCGCAAAAAACAAACACATGTAAATAAACAAATATCCTTCTTATAGGTGACAAATGACAGGCGCACGAAAATTAATTTGAATCGCGAATAGGGACCATGCGTGAAATATAGAGGTGTCTTTCTAGACACAGTCCAACACGGCAGAATAACCGATTAGTACCGACTTCAAAGGCACCGCGCACATGGGCGTATTTATTTTATTATTAAAATTAATTAAATTTAATTATTAATTATGTATAGTTCTTTCATTAAACTCGTTCCGAACTCTTACCGATAATTTTGTTTGATCTGTCACAGGCGTAGATACCTCATTTTAAAAATTTAATATTTTTATGAATACGAGAAAATATTCGTTAAAAGGCGATCGAATGATTATAAATTGGACGGCGTTATACCCGTTATTTAGATAGATGCACTTAATTGTATTCCTACTTGAAACTTAAAAAAATCATTATTATAGCTCGTCAATTTGCTACAACTGAATAATAAATTATAAAACGTAAATAGACTAGTAAAATGTACCTGCATGTAAGGGCGTTTGGTTCAAACAGGGTACCAGACGTGAACTGATCCCTTT